TTGAATTTGAGAGAGAAAGCCAGTGTCAAAATATTTATTGGTTGTATACAGTGATTCTATTTATAACTGCCATTAAATATGAAGATATTACATCCAATTAACATGATAATGATATATATAATGAAAAATGAAAAATGATAACTCACAAAAAGGGGGTCTTTTGGTTTGTTTTACTTTTCTATAATAACTAGAATCCATTTCCTTTGTTCATATCTGAATAGGGATTTAGTTGCTCTTTATATGGCATTGTAAGTTTTGTCAGGATTTTGTTCTTTTTTCCATTTTGAGAACAATACATTCACATAATTAATTTACCTTAAGTTTAATTCAAAAATATTATGTATCCAATCTCTAAAGGAGTCATCAACCTTGATGGTTAAAGTATTCGACATATATAAAACACTTTTGCTTACTTTACTTTGATGATGATGTAATATAGGCATTATTACATAAAATATATGAGAGATAACCGAGAACCATTAAAGGAGACCACATCTTGTCTCTTGTGTTAGACAATATCTTGTCTGAATATTCACTAATGAGATATGCTTTCTCACGCATTCTCTATCCAAATTAGAGATTCCCTTCCCTTAATTTTTGGGCAACTGTTTAATAATTATAATAATTTATAGTATTCAGTTTTGCTTTCCATATGCTTATCTCTGATATATTATTAAATGATAATAACCAATGGCACATAGTGAGACCCTTAAGGTTTGATGACCCTTTAGGTTGAGTTCCTAAAATCGTATCATCAATGCATATTGTTCCATACCGTCATTATAAATTAATCAACTAAGATGCCAAAGGACATTTATTAACCATTTGTGGCATGATTGGATTTTTAGAATTTTGAAATGTAATGCTTGATAGCAATAATTTAATTTTGATAGATAACTGAAACAGGAATACAAAGTCAAACAGAAGTTCATGAACAAACAATAAGAGCTATATGATGTGGAAGGGAAAGCACACAGCATACTTGCAAAAGTCTTCATGGAACAGTTGAGGCATTGTTAAAAAATATAATTCAAAATTTGATGGTGGGCATACCACTGGGAAAGGTGAGAACTATAAGTGTTTGTGCTTCAAGATTCTGTTTGTTAATATGTGGAATAAAATGCTCATGTTGCTTTCTCTACAAACAATCACAAAAGGAAAATGCATAACTCTAGAATCATTTAGTTCTATCCAAATGCAAATCTAGTATTATATATTACTTATTTTAATATGTTTAGAATGTGTAATAATATTTAATTATTATAACATATATTCACCATTAGACTTTAGTTTTGCTCTTTGATTTTAGGATTTAAGATGGTGGATTATGAACAGAATTAAGAAATTTTATACACTAATTACTCAAACACTTCTAGTTAATAGAAAAATTGCCAGAAGGAAAAACTAAACAAAAACAAAAACTAATTTTGCTATTTTCAAAAACCTAAAACAAACCACTGGAAATAAATCTCACTTCAATAAAGGAAATTTTTTGTTGGGAATTTTCTAGTACTCTCAATCGCCAAATATTTCTTTTTGTGATATTTTTCTTGTCTATATGATAATCCATATGGGGAATATCATTACTCTCATAACTTGGGGTGACCAGGTTTTTCAGACTCCTATGTATTTTTTCTACAGTAATTTTTTTCTTCTTGGAAATCTGTTTTGGGTCTCTCACCCACAGAATGTTCATAAACTGTTGAACTCAGAAAACAAATGTTTCTTTGATTGCCTGTACAACACTGATGTGCTTTATCCTTATGCTTGAAAACACAGGGTGCTTTCTCTGGACAGTGATGACTTGCAACATCTATGTGGTCATTTATTCATAACCCTCTGCACTACTCCAGTTTTGAACCGCTCTTCTCCAGTTGTGTATCCAGCTGGTGGCTGGCTCCTGGATCAGTGGAGTTCCAGTTGTGCTCGGGCAGTTGTGCCAGATTTTCTTCATGCCTTCTCTGGATCTAACCAAATCAATCTTTTCTTCTGTGACATCTCTTCAATATTCAAGCTGACCTATGGAGATAATGCCTGTGAGTGAAATGTTGGAATTTATAGGTGTCGTGCGGTTTGGTATGATCCCTTTTATGATGATACTTAGCTCCTACAGGAAAATCATCTCCATCATCCTGAAGTTGTCATAAGCAACAGGACAAGACAAAGCCTTCTCCATCTACTCTTCTCAAGTCATAGTAATGACTTTATTCTGTGGATTCAAAATTATTACATATTTATGGCCCAAATCCAAACATTCTGCCAGNTTTTTGTATTTATATTCTTTGTTTATTTTAGAACACTGCAAAACTCAGAGAATCAAGACTCAACAGATACTAAACATGAAAAGAAGTTTCTCAACTCAAAATTTTATTCAAATCAAAGTCTTCTAATTTGAATTTTTCATCTTCTTTGTCTTGGACAAAACTGATAACAAGATTGATACTAATCAGTTTGAAGTTCACAGAACCCTACATAAGTACAGCATGCTTAGTGATAGTAATCCATCAGGTAAATAACTGAAACATTTGGAGTAAATCTTTCCTAAGCAAAGTATTGATTTATATTTATATATGTTTCTATGGCTCAGTATAAAAAAGTTGTGTGGTATATTAAGGGAGATAAAATTTCCGATTTTATTTTCTTGAACATATTATTTTCTAGAAGTGATTTTTTTTATTACGAAAGATACATTTAAAATAATAATAATAATAATAAAAGTAACAACAACAACAATAATAATAATAATAATGAAAACATGGAAGTTTTCATTTTCTAGTCATCTTTTGATATGTTTT